CATTATTTATAACTAAATTCAGATTACCATTATTTTTTTGTTGTTATGTATTTAAATATATTATTAAAATTGATTTTAATACAAATTAAGCTAACAGAACAAAGTGTTATATATTAAAATATTTCTCTTAAAATTTATTAACATAAAAATAAAGAAGAATGTAATTAAATATGCAAATTTTTAAATGTTTTCTGACATAAGTAATTACATTATTAATTTTTAATGAAGTCGTAATTATTAAGATTTATTGTTCAAATCGTTGGATTAAAAAATACACATTGAATAAACATTATGTTTATTAGATGTATTTTCCTAATAAAATGTAAAGGACGTCTCGTATGTTTTATATTTAGTTGTATATAAATTACATTATTTTTTATTGGTAATAAGATGTTTCTACACCAATGTATATATATATATATATATATTTTAGACGTAAATTTACCATTAAATATGTAGACAATATCTAGTCCATGCAAGAATTCAAAATCTTTAATAATATTGTTAATAGAAGATTTTATAATTCAGAAATTTATTTATTTATATTTAATTTATATATTAATATAATCTTAAAATTTTATTCGAAGCAAATAAATGTTGATACATATTTCTATTTACTTTTGCAGAAATTTAATGAAATATTTTTAACGCTTTTCCAAATAGTTTCTAAAATGTTTCTAAAATTAAAATATATAAAAACGCTGTTGATAAATGTTTATGTCAAATTTATTTAAAAATAGAAATTATCTTTATGATTGATAAACAATAAATAATTATTTAAGTTAACATTACATACAAAATTCTCTAAGAATAACTCAGTTATTTAAATTATTTTGTTAATTGTATTCACAAAATTTCAAATATTGAAAATAACAATGCCATTTATAATTTGAAATTTTGAACAAATTATCAATATTCGTGCCTTTCCTTGTTAGTTATTTTGTAATTTTTTTCATAAAACGCGATAATCAATTTCGAAAAATAAGACTAGGCAACTAGTTATAGATAAGACTAATGTAAAATCGTTATATATTATTTGACGTCTATTTTACACATATACTTAGAATATACGTACAGAAGTTTTATACGCATCATAGAATATATTTTTAATAATTATTATAAAATTAATTATGTATAAGAATAGTTTATAATAATATTAATAATATATTTTAAAGTAATGCTAATATAAATGTCAAAAATTTCTAACGATATCAGTCTGTTTTCTTCTCTGAGATTGATTGTCGAATGATTGATTGATTGTCGAATGTTACAAAGCGATATCCACAAAGTGGAAAACAAGAAAGGGGTGAATATATCGATATGTATCTATTTTTAACCAGAAAACAAGTCTTAGACAAATCCTAGATTGTATTCCGATTTTCTCTAACAATATTGAAAAACTATGATATCTGACACGAAATACGGATACATTTTTGCACTGGCAGTAATATCGAAATGGTACACAAAGCAGCATAAATTTAATGCAATCTTCTCTTATATAATCCATTAAAGACTAAAGCAGGATCATCTTACATTCATCATCTACAGTACTTATATAAAGTTTCTTGAGACGCATTTTTATTTTATATTCAGTATTCTGAAGTAATGAATTAGTAAGAATCTTACGTATCCATTTCTGCATCTACAAAATTAACATAGTTATGTTAAATATGCATACATTCTGCAAATTATTAATT